GGCAGCGCGTGCGCCTGGTGCATCCATCCACTGGCTCATGATCAACGAACGGTTTCGAGTCTCGAACAGCACTCGCGGCTACATCTCGGCGAGATCTCGGCGAGATCTCGGCTACATCTCGCCGCGAGGTCCGAGTCCTCGGTAACCACCGCGTGCACGTCAGAGTGGCGCGCCAAGTGCACGAGCTGCGCGTCCGCCTAATTAGGCGATGCATTCACTATTAGACGCCGAATGCGCGCCAAGTGCACCCGCTGCGCGTCCGCCTAATTAGGCGATTCATTCACTCAACGAATGCATCAGCCAGTCGTGTGGAGGTGGTCCACCTCGCACGCGAGGACCTGCTAACTCGCGCATTCATTAGGGAAGTAGACGCCAAGTGCGCGCGTCGTGCACGCGCTGCGCGTCCGCCTCGTATGGCGCACGCATCACCTAATTAGACGTTACTGGTTGTTTGGTGGTGCTAATGAATGTGCTCGCACGGCGCGCTCGTCACCTCGACGCCGCTGAGTGTGCTCAGGTCGGCCATCACCTGATTAATTAAGTATTCATCAATTAAGTATTCATTAATTACGCTCAGGTCGGCCATCACCTAATTAATTAAGTATGCACTCGGTATGTTCCCGGCTCATTCATGGCGCCGCTTCATCAGATCTCGGCTCTCTCTCAGCTATCTCTCGGCTGTCTCTCGGCTATCTCTCGACTGTCTCTCGGCTATCTCTCGGCTATCTCTCGGCTATCTCCCGCCTCCTCCACCATCTCGTCGGAGACGCGGACGGCGCGGCGCGCCGCCTCCTCCAGCCTCCGCCGCACCTCCTCGACACGCCCCCGCAGCTCGCCCGAGAAGCCGCCTCCGCCAGCCGCCTCTTCCGCCTCCATCTCCCGCACCTGAGATCGTCGAGCTCCTCCATCTCGGCTGACCTCGGGCAATCTCGGGCAATCTCGGCAATCTCGGGTCATCTCCCGCGCCTGCTCGTCGAGCTCCTCCATCTCTCGCCGCGCCCGCGCCCGCTGCACGCGGCGGCGGCCGTGCTCCTCGCCCTTGGCCGGCAGCGACCGGCCTACGGCCACACCGAGCGACCGTCGGCGCATCCTGCCCGTCCTCCTCTCCTCCCGCCCGGCAGCGGGCGGCCGTCGAACACGACGAGGACGCGGCAGTTTGCCGACACGAGCAGCTCGGCGAGCTTGCGGCAGTACCGGATGTGGCCCGAGGTTGCCTCGCCCGAGACGAGCTGCAGCGCGCACGAGTAGGTGCCGCGGTGCAGCCACACATTGCCGTCCACCGCGAGCCTCTTGCCGGCAAACTGCGTGAGCGGTGTCGGCACCGCGGCGTGTTTGAGGAGGGCGGAGAAGCCCGTCACGCCCATGCCACAGCGCCCGAGGCACCTGTGGCGACGGCAGGAGATTCTGGCGGGTGGGCAGTGGCGATTGGGGGCCGAGAATGGGCTATGTGCCGCGCTCCGCTATGTGCGCGCTCCTGCGACGGTTGTTGGAGCGGCAAATAATCCGAAAGAATTCAACAAAAGAATTCTTAAGATACAAGCCTCTCTCACAGCACACTGGCACGACAAGGGCGCAGACTGGCGCGGACTGGCACACACACAGGCTCACCACCGGAGCCGCCTAAGCGACTCCGTTAAGAACGGCAATGCACTCCGCACCATGCACAATGCCGCTCTCCCCGCACGCTAGCTCGTTCACCGTCTGCCACGCCACGGCGGTGTGGAGGACGACAGACAAGCGCTGCATCAACAAAAAGAAGTCTCATCCACAGCACACAGGCTTTGAACGTGTGGGCGGCAGCTGTCTGTTTACAGGCGCTGGCCGCCCGCGCGCGCGCCGGACCGGCTCCGGCACGTCCGGCGCTGGGCGGCGCGCGTCCACACTGCGCGTCGCGCAAAAGGCGAGCGCTCACCGCCGCTACGGCGGCGGCGGCGGCCGACGGCCGACGGCCGACGGCCGACGGCCGACGGCAGACGGCCGACGGCAGACGGCATACGGCCTAGGGCTCGGCTGGGCGCGCACGCGCGCGCGTCGCGCGCCACGCGTCGCTCCGCGAGGGCGCGCGCCAACCGCGATTCGAACCGGGGCCAAAAGGCGCCTGGAGCGACCGCGGTCCGGTCGCGCCACCGCGGCTGCGGGGCTGATAGAGCAGGCCGGCTGCGGCTCCTGATGTACCTCCGCTTTTGGGTGGCGGTCGCGCGCTGCCGACGGCGCTCGCCGGCGCTACGGCGCTCGCGGCGCGCTCGTGGCGTTCAGGGCGGCTCGCACACGCACACGCACACACACACACACACACACACACACACACACACACACACACACACACACACACACACACACACACACACACACACACACACACACACACACACACACACACACACACACACACACACACATGCACAGACACACAGCCCCTTCCCCTCCCCCCTCAAGGGCGAGGACACGCACAGGCCGCACCTCTAGTGAGGCCCGCATAGTAATGTGGGTGACTCGTGCCGCCGCCCCTGCCACCCCTGTGTCAGTGTGCCTGTGGTAGGAGAGACTGCCAGCGACAAACTGGAGGCAGGTCGCTAGACTGAGATGAGACCGCCAGTGGATGTGGGAGTCCACCGCGCACCGCGCTGCGAGCCTGTCGTGTCCCTTGTCAGGAGCAGGAGAGCCCCACCTGTCCCCCTGATCGTCCTTCCAAAATCCTGCTCGTGCAGGTGGGGACCCTGTCCTCGTCCCATCCCTCGTTTGGCGTGTCTGTTTTCTTTCTTTTTCACCATGCAGAGCGCATCTCTCTCTCTGTTGTGCGAGGCGTGAACCGCGCCATTCGCTCTCACCTGGCAACCCTGTCTGCACGTCTCGCGCGCGCGTGAACAGGGCTCCAGGCCCCAAATGACGTGTGAGTGTTAGAGTTTGGTATTGCTAAAAATCTCTCTCAACCCAACCTAACACGAAACAACCTCACAAAATAAAGCATAATTTTCACTTTTCCGGTATAGTTCTTTTCCTGTACCCCCATTCCGCCAAGCCAAGGGACACAGGGTACAGCAACAACCCGACCCGAAGGGTCAATTCACAGCCACAACTGTGAACGGTGACTCGAAGATGCTTTCGCTCTCTGCGTAACGCTCTACGCGGAGAGCGAGTCGTAAGGCAAGCTGGCACTCTCCTCGTCCGCTCGCGCTTGCCGCGCCGCATTGCGCCCGACTATGCCGCCGCGAGCTGCACGCCTAGACCCCCGCGCCGCCTATTGCTCACGGAATCCGCCGCACCTCCTCACCACGCGATGCGCCCTCGATCGCGGCGCGAGCGGCTGACCCCCCTCGGCCTCGCACCGCCTGCCTACTCTCGCTCGCAGGTACAGCCGCTGCCATCGAGGAGGTCGCGAGACGCGTCCGCTGCTGCCCATTCCCCACCCTTGTCCCGCGCGACCGCACCTCCCTCTCTTCTGGCAAGAGAGCGACCCGCTCTCGCTTGCTCCAGTCCGCGCGCCGAGGACGCGAGAGAGCGTGCCGGCGGCCTCGTCTCGACGCTCACGCCGCGACGTGTTGCCCGTAGGCGCGGCTCTCCCCTCTCCGGCTCGCTCTCTCTTCCCATTCAGCATGCCCTTGAGCAGCACTATTTTTGTGCACAGCCTCATACACACCCCATGTCCATGTCCATGTCCATGTACCAATATACCCCCAATCATCTCCACAGTGTTTTTTTACCCTCATTCACATGTCGTGATCCCATGGACTCGTTCCTCACCTTCCCGTCTTACTTTCCTCCATAGGAACTCATTCGACCGCCTATGCTCGACAAGCTCAAACTCGAGTTCGTGCCGGCCGACGGTAATCGGCTCGCTATCAAGATCTCTCCACCTCCGCCGCCGCCGCGTGCCGACAAGCAGGCGCGTGTTTGCGCGCAGTGAAACTGCGCTCCCACGAGACCTTGACTTATCCTCTCGCCCTCTGGCTGTCACAGGCGGCGCTGGCGGGCAACACGACCGCTGTCGGAGCCAAGGCCGCCAGCATCCAGTCCAAGGGCGAGCCCGCTTCGCTCGAGGACGGCATCCAGCCCAAGGGCGAGCCCGCTTCGCTCCAGTCCGAGAGCAAGCAGCCCGCTTCGCTTGAGGACGTCGGCGTCGTGTTTGCGTCGTCGGCACGCGCTTCGCTCGACTCCTGCGCCGACTCGCGGCGCCTCACGTACACCGTCGCCGATCCGTCGCCGCTCTCGTCCGTCATCGACGCTGCCGGAGGCAAGGCCGACGGCATCTCGTCTGAGAGCGGGCCCGCGTCGCTCAAGGACGTCATCGGCGACGGCGGCGGGACGCCCGTCGCGTCCGAGGGCGAGTCTGCGCCGATGGCTCCCGTGCTCCTCGAAGACGAGGTGCGTGCGCACGCCCGGATCAACATAATCCGTGCGACCTCCAAGCCTCCAAACACCTGCGTAGCTCCCTCGGCCACAGGCGTGCGGCACCAAGGTAGCCCTCGCGAAGGACATCCCCGTGGCAGAGTCTGGCGCGGAGGCCTCCCTCAAGGAGGTCCCCAAGAAGGACCTGACCGCGTTCGCCAAGGCCGTGTCTGCCGCCCAGGAGCCGAGCGCTTTCGCCGACTGGACGACCCCGTCGAACCCGCGCCGCAACAACGGGCGCGAGGGTGAGGCCAAGGAGTCTCCAGAGGAGAAGCTCGCCACGGCGGTGAGTTTCTCTCAGCGCGTGCACACACCTCACGGGTGTAGCGGGAATCCCACGGGCGGTTCTCCTATCGGCCCTTTGCCTCTCGCACATGCGCAGGGCATCGACGAGTGGAAGACCGGTTGCAAGGGCGAGCCCAACCTGGTCGACTGCTCCAAGAGCACCACCCCGATCGACCCACCGACGGCCCCCAGCGGCGTCACCAAAGAAGATCCGGCTCTCGAGCCGGCGGCGGCCGGCGACGCGCCGCTGCCGTCGATGATCGAGTTCCCGGCGGCGCGCACCTCGCATTCTGCGCCGTGCGTCTGCCGACCCACCCCTTGACCCCACCCCTCTTTCATTGCGTAGGGCGACGCCAACCGGACCGTCTCGGCCAAGGAGTCTCCGGGGGTGAAGCTCGCCACGGCGCCGATCGCCTCGCACGCTTCGGTGCACGCGCAGAGCCTCAACTATTGACGCACCCACCGCTTGGGCGCGTGCGCAGGGCATCTCCGGCTGGACCAACCCGTCGAAACTGCGCCGCAAGAAGGCGCGCAAGGGCTCGTCCGCCCGGGTCGGCCGCGTCGAGAACGTCTCCCGGGTCGGCGGCAAGAACCGGTTCGGGGCCCTGCTCGGAACGAACGGCAACGAGGACGTCGGTGGCGGCGGCAAGGTGGCCCACAAGGCGCGGCCGCCCCGCGGCTCCACGCCGCCGACCACGGACTCGGTGCGCGCCGCCTGCACACATATGCGGCCTCCGCCCCCGTTTGCCGCGCGCACGGCCAGTCTCGCGCCCTCCTGTTCAGGGCATGGTCGAGACGACCACAGTTCCCACGCTGGACAGCTCCGTCTCTGCCTCCGGCCGGTTCTCGTGGCCCAAGCTCTGCCCGTCCTACAACTTGCTCCGCCTCTTTGGCATCCTCGCGCTGATCTGCCTCGGAGCCGCGTTTGCGCACTCCTCGTACTCTGCCACTTCCGCGCTTCTCTCCTCGCAGCGGTACGACTCCCCGTGGCCGACATCGCCTCTCGCGACCGTCGCAAAGCCGTTCACGCCGGCATCGCCCAACGCTTTCTGCGAGGTTGGCGGCATCGACACCAGCTCGTTTGCAGCCATCGTGTCGTCGGAAAGCGCGCCCGCCAACCACCCGGTGCGCGCTCGCTCGCGCGTGCTAGTATCCGCAAGCTCGCGACTAACAGCCCGCGCGCTGATCAGGGCGGACGCGACGAGGGGCGCTCGTGGGAAGCACTGATGGACGAGATCGGCGAGGCAGTGGGCGAGCCGTTGCACCTAATTGGCGAGCCGCTGGCGTCCGTCAAGGAAATTTACGAGAAGCAGCCGGTGAGCGCCCCTCTGGCTTTTTGTGTGTGCGAGCTTTGTAACCCGCTGACGGAACGATTGCCTGTGTGTTTGCGAGTAGGCCGAGGCCGACTTGGAGACCGTCCCGGCCTCGCGCAACAGCATGAAGCGCAAGGGCGAGCCTGAGATCGACCTCGTCGGTCCCGTCTACAGCAACAGGACGGGGATCATCGCTCGGGGACGCGACACCGTCTTGCCCGTGAACGACACGTCGCCCGAGTTGCGGCCCGCCGACGCTGGGAAGCCTGGGATGCTGGAGGTGCGGAAGCTGGTCGAGACTGGCCTCGGCGCGCCCGTCGCTAGCATGCACGCCGGTGGCGAGTGGCGGGCGAACGACGGATTGACGGACGCTTCTCGAGTCCCAACCAAGGATCTCTTCCTCCAGCGTTGCCAGGCCATCGAACCTCTTCTCGCGGCCACGCTTGAGGGGCCGGCGTGGCCTGCAGAGGTCCGTGCCGCTCAGAGTTCCGACTCGAACGCGGTCGAGTCAGATATCTTCTCGGTCTCAAGTGTGTGCGCCGACTGGCAGCCACGCTGCGCCGCCCCTGCGTGGCACGTGGAGCCTCGCCACGCGCTCCGCCACGCGCTCACCGACGAGCTCTACAAGACCGACAAGCCGCCCGCGGACCCACCGGCCGACGATCGCTCCATCCAGCTGCCCTCCCCGTTCCACTTTCCCTCCACGAGCGGAACCTCTTCTTCCGCGCCTGGCCGCGCCCGGCAGCGCGGTCAGCTTTTGGCCGCCTTGTTTTTGCTGCTCGGAGCGTGCTGGTGCGGCGTGCTGCTCTCGGTGCGGAGGAGCACCTCCAAGCGCCTCGTGCGGTGCCGGACGGGGTCGAGGCGCGGCGCGTGGCTGATTCTCGTCGCACTGCTCCCGCTGGCGTATGCACCGTCGCCCTCTCCGCCCCCACCCCCGCCTCTACCGCCGCTCCCCACCGGCTTCGTCGCCGCGTCGAGCGAGGCTAAGCTCCGCTCCCTGATCACGGAGGCTGCTACTTCGCAAGCCAACGTCGCAATCTACCTGCCGTCCAGGGCAGACTTCAAGCTGGTCAGCCCTATCAGCTGCGGCTCCAGCATCAACGTGACCGTCGCGAGCAGCGGCGAGGGCGCGACGCTCGACGGCCAGGAACAGACCCCGCTCGACGGCCAGGTTCTCTTTCACCTCTCGGGCGGTTGCAGCCTCACCCTGCGGGGGCTGACCCTCGTCAACGGGGGGAGTGCAGGCATCGGCGGCGCTGTGTACGCGAACGGCGCAGGCGACGTCGAGATCATCGACTCGACGGTCAGAGATTGCTATGCTTCTGTGCGCCGCGTAGAGCTAGCCGCACAGCAGGGCGAGAGATGGAGAGGGCCACGGCTGCCTCACCCCGCTCTCTCCTCGCAACCGCAGGTGGGCGGCGTCGTCTACGCGTCTAGCAGCGGTGCGGTCTCGATCATCGACTCAGATGTGTCGGACTGCTCTGCTGGCTATGTGCGCCGCGTTGAGCTAGCCGCACTCCAGCAGCGCCGCACGGTAGCGGGGCGAGAGATAGAGAGGGCCACGGCTGCCTCACCCCGCTCTCTCCTCGCAACCGCAGCGCGGCGGCGTCGTCTACGCTGATGGCAACAGCGCCGGTGCGGTCTCGATAATCGGCTCGAACGTATCGGGCTGCTCGGCTGGCTACGTGCGCCGCGTAGAGCTAGCCGCACTCCAGCAGCGCCGCACGGTAGCGGGGCGAGAGATAGAGAGGGCCACGGCTGCCTCACCCCGCTCTCTCCTCGCAACCGCAGCACGGCGGCGTCGTCTACGCGTCTAGCAGCGGTGCGGTCTCGATCATCGACTCAGATGTGTCGGACTGCTCTGCTGGCTATGTGCGCCGCGTAGAGCTAGCCGCGCCCCTGCAGCGGCGCACGGCAGCGGGGCGAGAGATGGAGAGGGCCACGGCTGCCTCACCCCGCTCTCTCCTCGCAACCGCAGCACGAGGGCGGCGTCGTCTACGCTGATGAGAACAGCGGTGCGGTCTCGATAATCGGCTCGAACGTATCGGGCTGCTCTGCTGGCACTGTGCGCCGCGTAGAGCTAGCAGAACCCCTGCAGCGCCGCACGGTAGCGGGGCGAGAGATAGAGAGGGCCACGGCTGCGTCACCCCGCTCTCTCCTCGCAACCGCAGCGCGGCGGCGTCGTCTACGCGTATTACAACGGTGCAGTCTCGATAATCGACTCCGATGTGAGGGACTGCAGTGCTGGCGATGTGCGCCGCGTAGAGCTAGCCGCACTCCAGCAGCGCCGCACGGCAGCGGGGCGAGAGATAGAGAGGATCGCGGCTGCCTCACCCCGCTCTCTCCTCGCAACCGCAGTACAGCGGCGTCGTCTACGCGGAGTACAGCGGTGCGGTCTCGATAATCGGCTCGACCGTGTCGGGCTGCTCTGCTAATGTGCGCCGCGTAGAGCTAGCCGCCTCCCTGCAGCGCCGCACGGCAGCGGGGCGAGAGATAGAGAGGGCCACGGCTGCCTCACCCCGCTCTCTCCTCGCAACCAGCTGTTCGGCGGCGTCGTCTACGCGGTTATCAGTGAGTCTCTCTCCATCGCGGGTGTCGACTTCATCGACAACGGAGCGGGGAGGTCAGGCTCGGTGCTGTACCTGGACAAACTCCGCCAACGCACCTCGATCAGCGACGCCTCCTTCACCGGCAACACCGCTGGCGACGACAACGACGGTGCCACGATAGAGGCAGTCAACTCGCCGATAAACTGGGACTGCCGCTTGGGCAGCTGGATGCCGCGCAAGGGCTCCTTTTTTGGCGACTTCAGCGTCCCCGAGTGCAACCTCTGCCCTGCTGGCTACTATGGGAACAGGAGCGGCCTCACCAACTCCTCCTGCGATGGTGCGTGTAAGCGAGGCCACTTTTGTCCCAAGGGCACAGCGGAACCGCTTCCGTGTGCTCCGGGCTTCTACATGCCCGTGATTGGCGCAGCCAGTGCCGAGTCGTGCCTCCCTTGCAAGCCGGGGACGAGCCAGTCCACAGCCGGCACGGACCGTCCCTGCGACGAGTGTCCTCCCGGCACGTTCGCCGATCAGCTCAACGCCACCGGCTGCACCGACTGCCCCGCGGGACGCTTCTGCCCGAATGCAGGCACCATCCAGCCCCTCGACTGTGCCGCAGGGCAGTACCAGAACCTCACCGGCCAGGCTGCGTGCGTGCAGTGCCCTGCTGGCGAGTTCCAGGCGGAGCGCGGACAGACGGCATGCGACACGTGTGAAGCGGGTGGATACTGCAAGGCTTCAGATGGCTGCGGTGGCGGCTTCACACCCTGCCTTGCGGGGAGCTACAACGAGAAGATGGGCAGCAGCTCACCAGATGCCTGTCAGAAGTGCCCCCCCGGTACCTCTAGCCCGATCGCCGGCGCAGTCAGCAGCGAGACGTGCGCGAGCTGCCGTGCTGGGACTTTTGGCGGCAAGCCCGGGCTGAGTGAGTGCACGGACTGCCCTCCGGGCAGTTATCAGAACGACACGGGCGCGACGTCCTGCCGCGACTGCGAGCAGGGCAGCTACTGCGCCAAGGGCGCGTCGGCGCCGCTGCCTTGCGACGCGGGTACCTACTCGGACAAGACGGACCTCACCGCCGCCTCGCAGTGCGTCGACGCCTCGCCGGGTCACTTCGCCACCACGGGCTCGACGCAGCAGACGGCGTGCGCCAAGGGGTCGTACACGAACGAGACCAGGCAGGGCGAGTGCACGCCCTGTTCCGGCGGCACGTACCAGGACGCGGAGGCGCAGACGGCGTGCAAGCCGTGCGAGGCGGGCGGCTACTGCGCTGTTGGCGCGTCGGCGCCGCTGCCGTGCGTTGCGGGCAGCTACTCGACCGCCACCAACCTCTCCGACGCGAGCGAGTGCACCGACGCCTCGCCGGGCCACTTCGCCACCACCGGCTCCACGCAGCAGACGGCGTGCGCCAAGGGGTCGTACACGGACGCGTACAAGCAGGGCGAGTGCACGCCCTGCGCCGGCGGCACGTACCAGGACGAGGAAGGCAAGACGGCGTGCGAGCCGTGCGAGGCGGGAAGCTACTGCGCTGTTGGCGCGGCGGCGGCGCTGCCGTGCGAGGCTGGCAGCTACTCGAGCGCCACCAACCTCACCGCCGCGAGCGAGTGCACCGCCGCCTTGCCGGGCCACTTCGCCACCACCGGCTCCACCGAGCAGACGGCATGCCGCGAGGGCAGCTTCGCCAACGGCACCCGCAACGAGGCGTGCGAGCTGTGCCCCGAGGGGTACTACCAGGTCCAGCCCGCCGCCGCCGCCTGCGTCCGCTGCGCTGCTGGCAAGTTTTGCCCTCAGGGCTCGTCGCGCGAGCTGGACGCGCAGTGCTCGCCTGGCACGTATGCCAACGAGACGGACGCCGACGGCGACCCCGAGTGCCTCGCTTGCCCCGCCGGCTCGTCGTGCGCGGGAGGTGGCGCCGCGCCTGCCGAGTGCTCTCCAGGAACCGCAGCCAAGCCTGCTCAGCGCCAGTGCACCGTCTGCGGCCTCGGGACGTACCAGCCGGACTCCGGAGCCGCGGGCTGCCTCGAGTGCGCGCCGGGTACGTTCTGTCCCAAGGGAAGCAGCGCTCAGCTGCCCGCGACCTGTCCCGCGGGCTTCTACAACGGGAAGGCGTCCACCACGCTGGAGAGCCTCGACGATTGCGTCGGTTGCGCGCCTGGCAGCTTCTGCGCCGGCGGCGCCGCGCAGCCAGCGCCTTGCGCTCCAGGCAGCATCGCCCCCTCGGCCAACATGTCTGCTTGCGAGCTGTGCCCGATCGGACGCTTCGCAGCCTCCTCCACCGAGTGCGAGGAGTGCGAGGCGGGCGCCTACGCGGCGAGCGAGGGCCTGTCGCAGTGCACCCCCTGCCCTCACCCTACCGGCTCCGACAGCGGCGACGTCACCTGCTCCATCTGCAAGGAGGGCTTCTACCTGCGGGACGCGAGCGCCCTTCCGGATGACATCTTTCGCTTCCCGACCGAGCACTGTAAAGCGTGCCCGCTGAACGCCAACTGCGCGACCAATACCACTCTCGAGACCCTCGGCGTCCGGCGCAACCACTGGCGCGCCTCGGAGCGAACCACCGAGATCCACGAGTGCGACGCCTCCGACCACTGCAGCGGCTCGGGCGGCGCGGCGGAGACCTCCCGCCGCCTCGTTGCTGCGGCGTCTGGCGGCGCCGGCCCAGGCTGCGACCTCGGTCACACCGGCCCGCTCTGCGAGTGGTGCGTGAGCGACGAGCAGTACTTCAGCCGCGCGGAGCGAGGCTGCGCCGACTGCCCGACGACGGGGCAGTTCGGCATCCTGGCGGGAGTCGTCGTCGCTCTCGCAGGGACAGGGTTCTTCTTGTACCGCGCCATCGCCCGCGCCGAGGCGTGGGGCCGCCTCAGAGCACGTCTTGACATCTGCGAGTCGCAGGTCGGCGTGCAGCCCCCTCAGTCACCCTGCACTGCCTCTTCTCCTGCCGTGGACTTTCTGCCGATAATAGAATGGGAGTAGCCCGTCGCTGCCTCACATATTGCGTGTGGCGAGACACCTTTCGCATCATTTGCCTTAGGTCGGCTTCCAGCCCAAGTTCAAGATCTTGGTCAGCTTCTACCAGATCGCCGCGACGCTCGGCCCCGTCTACGGCGTCCGCCTCCACGAGGACTTCACGCGCTGGACCGACTTCATGGACGCGATCAGCCTCGACCTAATCGGCCTTACCTATCCGGATGCCTGCATCGGCTCGATGGGAGACCGGCTCCTGCTCGCAGGCTTGTGGCCGATCCTATCTATCATGCTCGGAGGCGCCGCCCTCGCCTGCTGCGCCCTCGCGGAGTGGCTTCTGTCTGGTCGCGCCGACGCCCTCCGGCGCGACCTTGTGCGCGCTACGCTGCGTCGCCTCCTCTACTGGGCCATCCTCGTTGCCTACCTCGTGCTGCCCTCGGTCTCCCGCTCCATCTTCAAGGCGCGGCAGTGCGAGTCGTTTAATGTCGACGACTTGACAGCGGAGAGGCGCAGCTACCTCGTTGCCGACCTCGACGTGCTCTGCAGCGCCGACGACGACCAGTACAGCGGCCTCGACGCGTACTTCTGGGCCTTCTTCGTGCTCTGGCCGATCCTGTTCCCGCTAGCCTTCCTGGCGCTCCTGCTTTCGATCCGCTCCGAGGTGCGGGCGCAGCGAGTCAGGGCCACGGCCCGCGCTTGCCGCTTCCTCTGGCGCGACTACGATCCGCGCTTCCTCTTCTGGGAGGTCGTCGATCTGGGCCGCAAGCTGTCCCTCGCTTCTCTGGTGCTCTTCATCCAGACAGACACCGGGTCGAGCAAGATCCTCCGCCTCTTCGTCGCCTCTGTTGTCTCAGCCCTCTACCTCGCCGCCCTCGCCCTCGCCCGGCCCTTCAAGCGTGACGACGACCTCTACCTCGCGTGCACCGCCAATCTGTTTCTCGCCTGCTGCTTTACCTCCGGCACGGTGATTCAGCTGTGCGAGAGCGCCGCCTACGAGGACATGTGCAAGGCCCTCGTCGGCTTCGACAGCGCGCGCGGAGCGAGTGAGTTTGTGATCGCGCTCACCGCCGCAATGCTGGCCGCGTCGCTGCTCGTCGTCCTCTTCAAGACTATCAGCGCCGTCCGCATGCCCACCATCCGCCTCTACTCCTCCGGCCGCCATCCGGTCCTCGAGCTGTCCCCCGAGTGCCACTTCCACGGCTTCATCTCGCACTGCTGGGGGACCGGCCAGGACCAGACGCACACCGTCGTGCGGCAGCTCCAGCTTCTCCTCCCCGGCGTCCGGATCTGGCTCGACGTCGACAATCTCGAGGACGTGGGCAGGCTCGAGGAGTCGGTCAGAGACGCGACGACCTTTCTCGTCTTCCTCAGCGCGGGCTACTTCAAGAGCTTCAACTGTCGCCGCGAGCTGTACGCTGCGCTAGGCTCGAACCGGCCCTTCATCCCGATCCAGGAGGCTGACGTCGACAAGGGCGGCGCCTCGATCGAGGCGCTGAAGGCAGAGTGCCGCGAGCACTGCGTCGAGACCGCCCCGCCGGCCTACCCCTCCTACAGCGGGCCAGGCGAGATGCTCGCGCGCGTGTTTGAGGCGACGATGCCGATTGTGTGGGTGCGGGTGAACGCCTTTCAGCTCGAGTCGCTCAAGGCTGTCGCGCTGCGCATGCTGCTGCACTCTCCTTACTATGCGAGCCGCCCGGCCGAGCTTGCTGGAGGAGTGATGGTGCCCGGCCAGGCGGGCCCCGTTGCCTTCAGCGGCCCCGTCACCATCCTCGTGTGCCGCGACAACACGGACGCCGTCGGCATTGCAAGGGCGCTCAAGACGGCGGCGAGGGAGGGGCGCGGCTCTACCGCCAGCGCCGAGACGGTAACGATCCGCGATGCGGAGGAGGCGCTCGAGGGAGTCAACGCGGCCCCGCTCTCCGGGCACGTAGTGTTTCTGCTCTACCTGAACGATAAGACCTTCCTGGACGCCGGCGGCGCCGTCGCGCGCCTCGTGCAAGCGGCGATGGACCGACGCATCGCCGTCGCAATGGTCCACGAGCAGGACCCTACCTGCGGCGGCGTTCCGTTCCGCAACTTTTTCCAGCAGACGCCGCAGGTGCTGCTGCAGCAGCCGTACAAGCTCTTCGACACGGTGGCGGTGCCGCTCTACCCGGCTCCGGAGCACCGCTCGGTGAGCTTGCGCCTCGTGCTGAGCAGCATGGGAGCGGTGCCATGCGATGCGGGGCCGCTCCAGCGGCGGTGGCAGCTCCTCCGCCGCCGCATAGCGGTGGCGCGCCTCGTGCGGCGGCACCCCGCCGAGCCGCGCCAGCAGCCTGTGGTACAGCCGTAGGACGTGTTTGGCGAGACCTCGCGCGCCCGAGCGTGCGCGCCCCGCGCCGCGGGATAGAGGTGGCGCCGATGTCCTTGTACGTGTACGTTAGTGCTCGAGTGTCAGCGGACCTGTCCCAGGCGTTGGCCAACAGAAATCGCACACACACCACGCTTGCCTCCCCTTGCCTGACGCGCGCTCTGCGCAACGGCACTGGCGCCACCCAGCGGTCGCGCTGCTCCAGCGCGCGCACGGCGGCGTCCCCACTCTATCCCTGGCAGCTCTAATGACCAGGATCAGTAGTGTTGTGATAGAGGGTGCCCATACTAGCGCAGGAGCTGCCACACTCGCCCGGACCGTCCCCTTCTGGGGCCGGTTCCGCAGCCCGCGAGAGCCGACAGCGGGGCCGTGCCGCGGGTGCCTACTGCCAAGTGCCACAAACACTGCGCCGTCCCGCCATCACCTACAGACTGTCTTGTGTGATGGCAGGCAGCGGGAGACCGCTACCTGGGTACCCGGGTACCCGGGTACTCGAGTTAGGGCCGGGCATGCTTCGCCGCGCTCTGGCTCCAGCGCCACTTCTGCATGCCACCGCTTGCCTCACCCGACGACATCCGTAGTGTCAAGGGCGGGGCTCTGCTTATAGACCTGCGCACGCCAGAGGAGATCATCGAAACACCTGGACCGGACGGGGCGCTGACTTGGGACTTTAGGTCAGACCCGACGGTGCCAGAGTAGAACGAGACGCCAAACCTCCTCTACTCACGGTCGGGAGGCCGCGCTGAAAAGGCCAAGGCTGCTAGAGGGTCGCGGCAACACACGTGTCTTGAACGGCGGCGGCAACACGACTGCCCCTCAGTGGGACGCCAAGGAGGAAACGGAGAATGGAGAGATTGGGACGATTGGACACATCAAGAAGACAGTGAGCCACCACACTCAGGCGTCGGTGGCGCACATATTGAGCGGCAGCTGCGCTGAGCCCTGGCTGTCAGGCTGTCAGGTGCTGTCAGGTGATCTGTCGGGCTGTCGGGCACTGTCAGGCACTGTCAGGTGCCTCTGTCAGACCAGCTGTCAGGTGCTGTCAGTGCTGTCAGGTGCTGTCGGGTGCGTGTCTGACAGGCGAGGTGATCTGTAGCTGTCGGGTGCTGTCGGAGCTGTCGGGTGTTGCTGTCAGACGCTGTCGGAGCTGTCAGAGCTGTCAGGCTGCTGCTGCTGTTAGACGTTGGGCTGTTGCTGTCAGGTGCTGTCAGGTGGTGCTGTCGGGGTGCTGTCAGGCTCTGACACACATCAGCCACACTTATGACACTATCAAGAGGGCGCTGACTATCAAGGGGGTGCTGACGCCGATGACGCCGGCGGCTACGTAGCTACCCCCCCTCCTACACGGCGTGATCACGCCGGCGGCGGCGGCCGCCTGGGGAGCGCAGATGGCGGCGCAGAGGCACAGGCGGCGGCGGCGGCACAGACGGCGGCGGCCACCCCCACCCAGACGCCGTAGGCATATGACTGTAGGGCCCCAGAAGGCTAGCTGGTAGCTTCATTTGTATTAGCACAGCCGCCGGTGCTAGAGAGGGGTCCGCAGAGGTGGGGCGGGAGGGTTGAAAGAGAGACCCATGACCATCCCATGACTACATGGACCACACTCACATGTCTTTGCATGTAATTTTGTTATACCCTCATGGGGCGCAAGAAAGAAGCTCTACGGGGTCTGTGTACGGTCTGTGCTGCTGTCAGGCTGGCAGCGCTGCTGTCAGGCCACTGTGTGCTGTCGGGCTGTCAGGCAGCTGTCAGGCTGTCACGTTAGGGCCTGACAGCGACGGGTCACCTCGCCTGTCAGGCTCTGCTGTCAGGCTGTCAGATACGTGCTGTCAGACTCTCAGAGAAAGTGCTGTAAGCGCTGTCAGGCTGTCAGACCGGGGCTCAGCAGCTGCGCTGAAAACAAGGAAGAGGCGCGTTACTTCATGCGGAAGCTCAACAAACACACGGCGAGGGCGACACGGCGAGTCGAACGGGAGGCGCCTGATTCAAAAGACACGGCTACATTTCATATTTCTGAGACGCGCGAGAGCAGCCTCCTAAAGGCAATGGGGTCTAGATATTTGGAGCGCTCGCCGGAGAGGAGTACGACAAAATAGCGCCCGTGAATTGCCTGCACGCTGCCCGCACTCAGTCACAGACTCCATACCCGAAAGAAAGAGAGGGGAGCTCGCAGGCTCGCCAGGAGAGGTGACGAGGGAACTGCAGGTGCGGGCCGGGTGCACCGTGATATCCACATACAACACGACGACCACGCTGTATTAGGAAATACATTCGAACAAAGAAGAGGCGACGCCCGACGGGAGGAACCGGCAGAGGATGCAGTGACATGACACCCCCCCCCCTCACACACACACACACACACACACACACACACACACACACACACACACACACACACACACACACACACACACACACCGCTCCCACGCGCACCGGGCCTTGCACTTTGAATGCCGTGGGGCTCCTGCCGTCAGACGTGGAGACGCGAGGGTGCACAAAGGGGGGGGGGTGCTCACCGCGTTGCACACACCAGGCATGTCATCCACCTCATTAGTACCATCACACAACCCGCCTCTATTCCGCTCAAGGCGCCGCCCCGAGGTGTGCGGAGACCCGCCTCAGCAGCTCGGGGTTCTTGTCCTTGTTTGCCAGCGCGATCGCGCGCGCGGCGCTCGCCTCGCCGCACTGCAGGAGGAGCGGCACCGCCTCGGCGGGCGGCATCCGAGGCGCGTAGCGCGCGGCCTCCGCCGGCGCGCCGTTTGCGATGGCCGCTTCGGCAAAGGCGGCGGCGCTGAGCGGCGGCCGGCGCGCCGAGTTGTAGAAGAGCCAGAGGGCGGGCCAATCGCGCAGCTGGGCGAGCCCGCGCACCTGGGTTCGGGTGCCGCCCGGGGTAGGCGTGGATGGGTTCGGGTACCGTGGAGTGTGGGGTACGGGCGCGTGGGTTCGGGTACCGTGGGGTATGGGAGGGTGGGTTCGGGTACCGTGGGGGTAGGGGAGGATGGGTTCGGGTACCGTGGGGTAGGGGAGGGTAGGCGAGCCCGCGCACCTTGATCCGCCACCAGCGCCGCTCCGGCACGCGCAGCTCCAAGCGTAGCCTCTCTGCATACGGCGCCTGGAGAAAAAAGAACTATTGTGATAAAAAGAAATACACAAGCGTAGCCTCTCTGCGCACGGCGCCTGGCCGTACACGAAGCAGCGGAAGAGCGTCTCGTTGAGGGGCAAGTCGACGAAGCGCCAGCGGCCAGGCGCGAGGGCAGCGGCGGCGGGCGGCGGCGGCGCGCCGGCCGTCTCCCGCTCGAGGTTCAGCTGGGCGGTGAGCAGGCGAAGCTGTTCTCCGGTCGCGTGCGCCATCAGCGCGGCATGGTGCGAGGCGCCGGTGTCTCCGGCGGGCGAGAAGGAGAGGGACGCGGCCACGCCTGGAGAAAAAAGAAATGCTCCTTACCAAAAAGCGAGACGCACTGCCCGAAAAGAGGGGAAGGGGACGCGGCCACGCCTGGAGAAGAAATGCGGCTGCGAAAAAAGAAATGCGCGCGGGAGCAAGGAGGGGGACGCGGCCGCGCCGAGCGGCGCGCGCGCGGCGGCAACCTCGTAGAACTGCCTCGCTAGAGCAAGGCCTAGCCTCGCGCGATCTCGTGCGATCTCGGGGGTCCTCTCGGG